TTTCAATTATTCAAATAGAAGTAATAGAGCTCTATACATTTCGATTTATTTCACATTCTTTTCAATAGTTCAAATTAAAAACAAAGTACCTGAGTTTATGATGTTATTTTTATGTATTAATATTATTTTTTGTTTGATGTTCTACAACTTTTTCATTATAATAAATTTACAATATTATGTTTTGTTTTATATACATCTATGTTATATATTATAATTTTATATGATTGTATATTTATACTTTATTTATTTTTATGTCTATTGTGTGTGTGCTTACTTCATCATACTTATAATAGTTTTTTCATTATTATTATTATATACACAGTTATATATACAGCGTAATCAATATTTTTGTTGCATCATATCAAATGTAAAAGTATTATAATACTTTTTTTACAATTTAATTTATTAAGAAGAAATGTCTGGATTTCCATTTTTATTCCATTTTATTGTAATGTACTATATAGTATGAGATATTTATTAATTTATATACTTGAGTTATCAATTTGTGAAAAATTATATACTATATGAAAAGTTATCACATATAAAAAAATTGAATGATTTTGAGCAAATGTTAATTATGTATTATATTTATTTTTTATATTTATTTTTATTATATATTGAAACTTTATAATTTTTATAGTTAAAAGTTTTATATTTTAGAGATTTGAAGATTAAAAATTTCATTTTTTTTTAAAATAAAGCTCTTAAAATGGATCTTACTTTTTTATATAAATTGATTTTGTAATATTTAAACAATTATAAGGCTGAAATAAGTAAAATTTAAATAATTTAGTTTATTACCTATAGTTTGTATTTTTTCTATATATTTTATTCTAAAAAAATATAATTGCACAATTTTGATTTAAAAATTTTTTTTGAAATGTTTGTTATCTTGCAATTGTGTTGACGATTTGTGGATTTTTCTGTGTAATTACATTGTAGCAACCTCTTTGTAATGTTTCATTGCAATTTTGCAATTGCTACAATGGAATTACAATGATTTATATTGTATAGAGGTTCTTTCGTTTTCAAGATCAAAGATATAATATTTTTAACTTACCCCAAAACGTAAGTCTAGCTACATCTATGGTAGGAGATAACGATATAAATTTTGTATCGATGAGAACTTGCCATTCCGAATTTAACTGTGATTATAAGTGTAAGTACACGATTAAGGGCCAATTTTTCCAACTTCTTGGTAAGTTTTACTCGACAAGTAGTATATTTTCGTCTTTTTTCAGATAAGTTCTAAAAAAAAGACGAAAATAGGCTACTTATCGGGTAAAATTTACCAAGAAGTTGGAACAACCGGCCCTAAGTGTAAGTAGACGATTGAAATTGTGAGCGATTAAGATTTCGCGATTAAGAAAAAAATTTTTTTTTTAAATATATAATATTCAAGAGAGAACCTGAAAGAAATACATATAAGGTCCGACATGACCTCAAATGTCATTTAAACTTAAACAAGATATGGGTACCTCTGAGAATGAAAGCTATTCAAAAAATTTTGTATCGATAAAAATTATTTATTTTAACAAAGCGCATTGGGTAGTGACCTTAATCTTGACTACGACCATATATATATATATATATATATATATATATATATATATATATACAAAATTTTTTGAATAGCTTTCATTCTCAGAGGTACTCATATCTTGTTTAAGTTTAAATGACATTTGAGGTCATGTCGGACCTCATATGTATTTCTTTCAGGTTCTCTCTTATATATATATATATATATATATATATATATATATATATATATATATATGCAGTATGAATGGAAGAAATAAATAGCGAGCGCGTAGCGCGCGCCTGTATTGTTCTAGTGTATTAAAAACATACAAACACTGAACGGAAATCAAATATCATCAAATATTTGGAATTTTGATAATGTAACGAATTGTACCAAACATTCGAACAAAATTCTAAAAACAATTATGTTAACATTTTAACACATAATAATATATTAATATTGTAACACATCTTTTTGAATAAGATGTTAATTTTTTATTATTTGTTGTTTATTCGTTCACTACACATTAAAATTAACATATTCTACTGGTTCTAGACATTTATCATAAAAAATATTTTAAAAACAAAACACAGATAATATTATACGAAGATAGATAATTTCATAGCTCAGATAATGAGATAATATTTTATATAGCTTAGATAATTTTATAGCATTAATATAAAAAATTAACTACACAATAATTTTATAATGTAAAAAGAAAATTTAGCTTATAAATTTTACACTTTCTATATGTCAAAATGGTCGAAATATATTATTACAGTACTAACGTAAATGTCTTCATTTCTATTAACTGTAATGTATGCAAAAGATAAAAATAATATTTATAATAAAATGAGTTAGTCGATTTAAAAATTTAAGAATAAAGATGCAGAAAATTAAAAAAGAATAAATAAAATGTCTTTTATAAAATAAAAGCGTTACCTGTTACTCCACACAATTTTGTATGCACATTTAAAAAAAGAAAGATAAATATTTTATTATATATTTAACGCCTTATCCTACTATTTGAATTAGCTAGGTTTTATATCAGATTTTAGGGGATGCCGGAGTCGCAGCCGAACTCCGACGGGTAGGCGCCCTCATTTTAACATAACTAAAAGTGTCGGTACATTACCAACACTTATAGTTATGTTACCGACAGTCTTGTCTAAAAAGACATGCATATTTTATAAAAAGACATGCATATTTTGGAAAGAGCAATATGAAAACTTTTCTTTATATTGTGTTAATTGTATTTATTGAAATGAAAAATATGTTGCATTTTCACTCTATCGTCTCGCACAAGCAATTTAGAGCATAGATGTCTTTACTGCGTACATATTTAAACATAATCCCTAACAGCACATGATATCATTCGAATATTCTATACTTATACTGTAAATATACATTACAGATATAATATATTGAGAATAATCCCATAACATCTCTTGTTGTATATTATTTTTCATATATTCTCAGAATATACTTTGAATATCTCGTATATCGTAAATATACTTTGAATCTCGCGTATTAGTATATTCTTTCTCATATATTTTCCGGATATTCTATAATATTGCATGTGTTTCCTCATTTTGCCGCTACGCGCGCTACCAAACTCGTAGTTTAATTTTGGTGAAATGGACATAAAGGACTGGTATTTAACATGAGTTCTAAAGTTTCTTCTTTTTTCTTTTTAGTCAGTTTAATTTATAATAAGCTGACTTAATTTAAAATTTGTTTAGTAATTTAGTTGTTTTGGATTCTTGATTGGGATTTAGAATATTAAAAAGATTATTTGAAATTAAAATGAGAAATAGTGTGTGCGTTTACGGCATTTATCAAAAGTATTTATATTACATATATGAATTATACTGCAAGATATTCTCAGTATTTACTATTAACCAAAATAGGCGGACATCAGAGCATTCTTAGTATATACTTAATATATCATAGTATGTATCTCAAATGTTCTGAGAATATAAGCATTGTACTTTTGCGATATTCTTCGAACATTCTCAGTATCTACATGTGCTGTTAGGGAATATATTCTGAGATAAAAAAGAATGCACAGAAGAGTTTAAATGTATTTATCTGATCTTATAACTATGCAATAAAGCTGCTAATAAAACAATACTTAAAAAAACTTTCATATTTTCTGCGAAACTTCTTCTATTTAAAACAGAAGCATCTTTTAGAGTCAAGTTTTCTATATAATTAATATTGTAGTATATGTTTCAAATATATACAGGGTGTTTCCAGTATCTCGCAATAAAGTGAAATCATTAATTAAAAACAATCGGCCAATACGCGGGACTAGAAGCGCGCCGCGAGAAAGGTCGTCACATTGTGACTGAACTAAATATTTTGTAATTTATATCTCGAAATTTTACGTGTTTTTTTACAAAATGGTATAGGATTTTTAGTTCAGTTTAGCGAGATCTACATATGGTTTTACTTTCCATCGAGATATTGGAAACATCCTGTATATGTACGTACCTGCATATAATAAACTCACGTAATCAATATCTATGTATTAAATTTGTAACATAAAAAAGTAATACAATATAATATGTAATATAATATAATATTAAAAATATATATAATATTTATAATATGAGCAATAAAAGCCTAAAAAACGTGGATGGTAATGCGTAAATTTTTTCGAACATTAATTGTTCGCGAAAAAATTTTTAAGACATATACATATATGCCAAGTTATAGGGGATATTATAGAAGTCTCAAACCAAGAGAATCTATAACTTGACATATATGTATATGTCTTAAAAATTTTGCGCAACTATGCGATGGCGTTTCCGTTGGATTAAAGTATTCTTTTATTGTTGCGGCTTCTTGGGGGCTTCCTCGCCTCTACGTGCGTATTTCTGCGTCCGCCTTTACCGTTTAATATACGCGGGTGGCTCGTTGCTTTCCATTGCATACCCTAATTTTTGCGTTAACATCTTTTAAGAGAAAGTTTTTTTGTCTGCTATTATGATAGAAAGTCTCTTGTGTTTGCGCTTATACCTTGCTGTCGTTTGACATTTTCAAATTATTTGTATACATTTATAGCGTTTATTTATAAGCATTGAAAATGATCCGAAGCGGATCGAAACGTTTGCGTCTTTATTTCATTTTGTAATTTTCAAATTTAATTTTTTAACATCAGTAACGATTATTAACGTCTTTGTATTTGCTTAATGTTATATACAATTTTTTCTTGCCTATAATCGTTTTCTTATTTGTTTGGTCCTTAAAATAAGCCTGTGTTTATATTGTTATTTGAATAATATAATATTTTTAAACGATATTATACAATATAATATTTTTATACAATATTATACAAACAATGTTTTTAATATTATATTGTACAATTATAATATTATGTTGATTAAATACAATTAAACAATTATTAATTCTTTTATTGACATTAGTGAATAACTAAGGATATACATTTATAAATATTATTACAAACATTTATGCTGTATTTTTAATTTCTACACAGTTAATATCTTAAAGATTTAGTTATTCAATTGTTAAATAAAGATCGAAAATAATATATCTGTTTTTCGATCTCCCACGAGCGTGTTTTTATCTTGTATTCAATATTGGGAATGACTGAATTTTTCAACTCCTTTTTTACAAATTTGCTTATCTAAAATGGATTTTTTAAATAATTATTCTCAATAAACGATTTCCTATATCAATAATGCATTGTCAATAAAATATCCTTATGAACAGAAATATAGAAAAATATTATGTAAAATATAGAAATTTGATTTATTTAAAATTTACCTCGCCCAACTGTCCCTTAGAATACGCATTGTTAATTATAACAATTAATGTCACAATCTCATTGACTCTTCTATCAAGAATAAAACAATATTATAACTAATTCGTACAATAAATCTTTGTGTCTACGTGTAGTATACCTTTAATATCGTTACCTGTGTCTTATTATTTTGTAATTTTTTAATAAATTTGTAAGCATGTACTTAGTATTCCTCTCAAGAATAGAAAGGAAAATATTAGCATTTAAGGTATAAGCTCGTTCTATCGATTCAAGTTGAAGATGAAATTGATTATACAAAGATTTTGAAATTTGTGAAATTATTACAGCATGTGTGATAATTTCTAAATAATGTATTAAAATTTCAGAATTTTTACTATAAGTCAAACATTCAAACATTTTATCATTTCCTTTCATGTAATTATGAAAAACTATATCCCATGTATCATGATCTGCCGTTTTTAAGCCATTGCAATATGTCCACCTCTTCCATCCAGGCAAAAGTCTACAGGAGACAGTTCAATGAAGAAATAAAAATCTTTTAACGAAATTGTGTTAATAGTTTCTTTAGTGTTTTATGAATAATTTTTGAAATAAATGATAACTAATTTCTCAAACATATACAAAATGTAAAAAAATATTTCTATAAAAAGAATAAAATATTATGAAAAGAATTACTTGTTTTCTTTAGGATTTGCTAGATGCCATTTCAAATGACGCTTAGAGCTTTCTTCGCAAGAATGATCATTCATAATACATTTCCATTTTGCAAGTTCTTGTTTTAAACATTTAGTACGATCGTTGATGTGACTTTGGTTCAACAGATTCCAGTTACTAATTTTATGTTTCTGCATAAAATCAAACTTTAGCACGCCCTAAAATTTAATAACTATCATTATATTTAGTTTATTCATTATTTACAAGAACAGATATAATGTACGCGCATTCAAACGTTTTTACTAAATAATTTTTTTCATATTTCTTTAATATTTATGTGACTTCGTAGCATCAATATCATAATAAGTAGATTTACCAATTCCTTATTTATGTGAATAATTGTGTATATATTTCATCATCTAAATATGTATGGATTTTATATCACTTAATGAATTTTTAACACACATATCGATATATAAAGTGTTTCATAAAATTGTGCTAACGTTCGTGAGTGGGTAGAACGCAATAAACTGAACAGAAAGATTCTTTACTATTCTACAATTTTTGGTAATAATTATTGAAATATTAATTAATAATGTGAATAAACGCACGTTTTGCGAGACTATATCGTAGGATAAGCGCAATAGGTGTGCCAGCGGCGATTGTCACATAGCAATTAAAAGCAAGTGTCGAGGCATGCGCGATCAAGCTTTACGAGACACTTTGTATATATGTTTTAGTCTGTGCATATTGATGTATCGATTGATGTATGATTTTTATTTTTTTAATTTAAATTTGTGGCGTATGAAATATAGATTTTAAGTGTTTTAAACTTTAAATATCAATTTCTTTTATAAAACAAGCATTTGCAAGTAGATTATCATATATTAAATTATTATGTGTTGTGTAATGTAAAAAAATTTTCTTAAAATTATATAAGTCAATTTCTCTACAAAATGTTTGTATATTTTTAACATCATAAACATTCGAATACTACGAAAGAAAATTAATATAAGAAAGATAATTGTATTATATACAGTGTCCTATAATTTTTCAGAACTAATTAAATATTAATTACACAATTGATCAACAATTATCATGTAAATTATCATGTAAATACTAATGTATTATTATTATAGAATAATAACTCGATGAAATATTCAAAATTTATGTGATTGTATTAAATATAAAGAAAAAAATATATAACAAATATGTAACATAAACGTCTCTTAACGAATTTAAGTTTTTGAATTTTATTATAAAAAAAATTATATGTTAACGTATGATTAATTTTTTTGTTTAATTCCTTACATATAACTATTTTTAAAGCAATTCATTATTATGATATGAAATCGTTGTATTATAAAATAGATAATTGTTGTAATGTATAATTTTTTTTATATGAAAATGTTATTAAATCTATATATATATACCTTAAATTCAGGATAAAAATTTAAGAATGGAAAGATGTTCGACAGAAATTCAAATGCTTTGAGCATGGGATACCATGCTATATAATCTCTTTCCTGTCCCAAATAAGAAGCGAGTTCCCAAAATACGGAGAATTCAAGTTCCTTCTCTATCGCAAAATGAAACGCATCATTGATGATTTGCGCTCGATTGAGAACATGTATATTACGATATTTTTGTGAATTTAAATACTGTGCAATTTTTCGCCAGTTCACAATATCATAATTAACGCGATAGTATCCTATTATAAAATAAATTACTTTTGTCGGTTATTAAATACTTTGAAATGATACATATTAATTAAACATATTTTGTGATGTTAAAATGATTACGAAATTAAATATATTAGAGATGTTTGCATCTTCCGTTTTTATTATTTAACATGAAGGCTGTATCAGCAATTTTACATATTACAGCAAGAAATTAAAATTTCAAATATATTGTTAAAATTTCAATATTTTTTGTAATATTTTTTGTTATATCTTATATTATGTATGAGTTTTAAAATATCTTATGATTATTTTTTATTAAAATTGATATCATATATGATATATATAATATATTATATATACACACACATATATATATATATATATATATATATATATGTGAATATTAGCTAAAGTTGAAGAACTACGAAAAAATTTGTATATGAAGAGATATTTGACGCAGAGGGAAACATCGTATGGTACAAATGATATTTTTATAGATAAAGGCATTAAGGAGATTTCAAGATCATCTTAATTTTTTTTAATGGAACACCCTATTTTTACGTATTCTTACGTTCTTATAGCTTTTCTCGAGAGCTTTCCAAAACCCTATAATAAAGTATTTCTTGAGTACTTTTTGAGTTATGAGACTTAAAATATAATAATTTCTTAATTTTACATAAACCATAGAATATCTAGTAAAATATTTATTTTTCGATTATCTTACCTTAATACTTTTATGTACAAAATAATGGGAGGAATCAATTTATGTAAAGAAAAAACATAGTTGTTTTGAATTTTATCGAAGGAAAAATATGTAATTTCTAATTAAAAATTACATATTTTTTCTTAAAAATAACTATATGCTTTCTATATATATATATATATATACATATATATATATACATATATATATATATATATATATATATATGTATGTATGTACGTATGTACGTACGTATGTACGTATGGATGTACGTATGTATGTACGTATGTATGTACGTATGTATGTACGTATGTATGTACGTATGTATGTACGTATGTATGTATGTATGTATGTATGTATGTATGTATATATGTATGTATGTATAATAATTGAATAATTCTGACAATTTGGATATACAATTTAATGCAAACGCAAAATGGCTTTGACTACTAACATAATATATATATATATATATATATATATATATATATATATATATATATATGTATGTAATGCTAATTATACAAATATATGTATTTATATATTGAAATAGATATACTTGAAATTATATACAATATAATTGTAAATTTACTATTACATAACAGATAATATAAATTTGATATTCAATATTTTAATATATTAATATGTAAATTTAGATGTAAATTTATTTTTTAATATTTACCAGCTTGTTGTAAATTGAAAATAATCCATTGATTTTTCTCAAGATAGAGTTCAGTTTTTGAAAACCATGGTGTTAACGAAATATTCGTCCAAGTTATGATAAAATTAGGATTTGACTCAGTAGCATAACTAATAGGAATATAATATTGTTCCTTATCTAATTTGTCGCGAAATTGTACCGATACGCTTACAACATTAGTAGAATAATTTCGCTTCACTTTCAACACGGAAGGATACCTCTCCATAATCCACGAATTTATCGCATCTTTTATATTAAAATACTTAGGATTTAATTCACTCATCTTAGATCTCAAAGCGTCCCATAAATGATCGGCAGTTGCTGCTTCAGGTTCACTAAGTCTATAAGATTTAACAACATCATAATTTTAACATTATACTAAAATTAATAAATAAATAATAAGAAAAAAATTATAATTTACAAAATTTATTATCGTATTTTAATCTATAATGTAACTTCTACAGAGAAATTTATGAACTTTAATATAATTGTATATACAGAATGTTCTAAAAAGGTGTGTCAAAATATTAAGGAGATATTCCTCACACCTGAAGGATTAAGAAATATTATATGGTCATAGGTGCGGAAATGTTTATTGCAGGAGTTATGATGAAAATACTGTTTGTTGTATTACTTACACAAGGAAAAATTTAGGATTAATTATTGTAGACGACAATAGTTTAATTAGGCTTATTTACATTTGGTTTTAATGTGATCTTGAGTATGTTACAAGAAATGTTGAAAATGTTTACCATTTTCCTAAATACAGAGACACTAAATACTTTTCCTAAAAGCAGTGACACATCGACGAATCGATTCACGGACATGTTCAGAAATGCCTGGCGTACAGTGGATTGTCTCGCAACCTGCTGTGATACGGTCACGAAGATCTTGAATATCATGTACTGGTGGCATTTTTGAATGTGTCCGTGAATCGATGCATCGATATGTCATTGCTTATATTGAGGAAAATGGGGAACATTTTCAACATTTATTGTAACATACTGAAGGTCGCATTAAAACCAAATGTAAATAAGCCTATTTAAACGATTGTCGTTTACAATAATTAATCCTAAATTTTTCCATAAGTAAGTAATACAGCTAACAGTATTTTCAACATAACTCCTGAAATAAGCATTTCCGCACCTATCCTATCTATATAACGTTTTTTCATCCTTTAGGTGTGAGGAATATCTCCTTAAATTTTTGACATACCCTTTTAGAATACCCTGTATATACAGAGTGTTTCAGACCACCCGTACCACCCATTTAAAAACTAGAGAAGTGGTTATTTCAAAAAATTAAAAACATTTTCTTCATAAATTGGGTGCGTTCTATCGAGTGGTGATATTTTCAACTTCTGGTTCCGATTGGAAATAGGCGATTTAGACCGGAAGTGCATTTTTTTAAATGGAACATAGTATTTTTTATTGAAGATTCGGATACTATACAAAAAAATGTGAATCTTTTGTACCAAACATTTTTTCAAAAAATGTCATTTATGTCTTTCAAACAACCTTCAAAATGTGTGTTGGCGAAAATAGCATTTTTGCATTATTTGCTCTCGGCATAACCCAGGATCTACGATGAGGATGTGGTAGATATCAGATCCCGTGTGTAGGTGTGTGTGTTTGTGTGTGGGTGTGTGCGTGCGCTGATATGACTAGATAATTCAGAAAGTTTTACTTAATCATATCCTGGGTTATGCCAAGAACAGATAATGCTAAAACGTTATTTTCGCCAACACACATTTTGAAGATTGTTTGAAGAACATAAATGACATTTTTCGAAAAAATGTTTAGTACAAAAGTTCCATATTTTTTTGTATACAATCCGAATCTGCAATAAAAAATACCGTGTTCCTTTTAAAAAAATGCACTTTCGATCTAAATCGCCTATTTCCGGCCGGAAGTTGAAAATATCACCATTCGATAGAGCGCACCCGACTTATAAAGAAAATGTTTTTACTTTTTTGAAATAACCACTTCTCTAGTTTTTAAATGGGTGGTCTGAAACACCCGGTATATATATATATATATATATATATATATATATATATATATATATATATGTGAGTTATCTCAAGATATAAAAAATTAACGCTTCTCAGTTAAATAGCTCCGAATTTATTTTAATCTATAGTTTTGTGTATCTTGTATACTGTGTAAGATCTCGTGTGTACTGTGTGAAGGCGCGATGTGAACTATCAATAGGCGCGATAGATTCTCTTCAGGCTCGATATTAACTCTACGAACGCGGGATGCAGATTGAATTCTGCAAAATCAGGATTCAGCATGCATGATCCGGGAGAAAGTTTTTATGATCGGAAAGATTCTCCGAGGGACAAGTGATCGTTGTGTAGAAAAAGCCGTGTATTTGCCATATGTTAATTGGCGATGTAAGGGATCGATGGAAGGCTGCGTGACACGCAAGGCTTGTAAATTTTACAGAAGTGAAGGTGGATGTTGCATGCATGCAGAGATTAGAATTTATATAATGTGTGTGTGTGTGTGTGTGTGTGTGTGTGTGTATAACAAGGGCAGAGTAGGAGACAATCATCCCTACATATATATATATATATATATATATATATATATATATATATATTGTTACGCGCGCGCCCGAGTCGTCACGGCCCTGCCGTTGTCCGGATCCCGTCGGCAAGAAGATTGTTTATAAACTACGACTGTCAGCTGAGTTCGGTTCCAGCTGTCTGGCTGCGCGGACGCGAATTTGTATCGAGCCACTAATTATGTGTATTACCGTTCTGTGTTACCGTTTGTGTTGCCCTGTGTTGTGCATTAAAGTACCAAGTATCTTTTAAAAGTGTCTCTTTATTTCGCGCGACTCGCGAGCGGCCGATTTCTTCGTGCGCGACTTCGATATTTATCGAAGTCCTCGCCGCGGGCGTAACAATATATACTTTTTTTATTAATATATATTAAGATATATTTATTAGTAATTATGTCAAAATTTGTTGTGACTGAATAAATAATAATTTTAATTTTTATATTATAAAGATTTTAGAATGTTTACATTCTATGTTTGTAAAACTACATTCGCCAAATCATTCAATTTAAATTATTTATTATTTAGAAATTATGAATATGTATTATAAGAAAAAAGTTGAAATTCCATTTTAACAAAAATTCATAAATATAAAATAGCAGTATAAATTTAAGCTTTTAAATATCTATGTTTTTTAAACATTAAAAAACTGGAAATATATTATTAAATTTATTTTATATTTTGATTCTTTTTCCTTTCCCTCTATGATGCATATTGTTACATTATAATACATTATACTTACTGATTATTCAAATGTTTGATGAATTCCGTTGAAAATATATCAGATGGTAATGTTCGTATTAACATGCGCCATAGAATGGATCCTATAATGTTTGAAAGAAAAAGAATTTAGTATATTTAAAATGTCTTTACTGCAATACGCAATAAAGGTTTGTGAATATATATGTAATTAATAAAATTAAATATATTATACTCAAAGTTTGTGTAATTAAATCTAAGTAAGCAGCTATAAAAGATAGATAAATACATTTTTATACAATGAAAAAATTTGTAATAATAGATAAATAGTGAATGATTAAAAATTTGTTAAAAATAATAAATTAGATAAGGAATCAGTTAATTTTATATTTCATCATGATTTTTTGAAATTTTAGATAAACATGTATAGTTATAATTTCAAAAAAAATTACAAATTATAAAATTATCCAAAAATTATATAAAAATTTATTTTTAAAGTTAGATATTATTACGTTATAGCAAATACTAAAAAAAATATGTTAAATTTTACAAATGATAGGCCTTGCACGGTTCTTTTATGGAAATTAAAATTCGAAGAAATTTGAATTTTTTTTGAATTTGCTGAATTTTGGAAATAAATAGTTTACGTGAAAACAATAAAAATTTAAAAAATGTCAAAATAAATGTGATAAGTTTGATGAAGTGGTTTCGTCGGTACAAATATTCAAATATCGAAACAAAGCATTATTTCAATACTATTAAGGAAAAGTAAATAATATGTGAAGTAAAATAAATAATATATTAGAATGTCATACACAGTTGATCATTTTTATTAATACATTTTACTAATATATTTACATGGAAAAATGTGTGTGTAGCAGTATCGCCGCTGTCGTTGCCATAACATGCTATTTGATATTTGATAAAATATAATTAGTTAAAAGTATAGTTGTTATATAAGTTTTCCCTAAGTCTTTCCCTTCGGAAGATATAGAACAAGGATACAACTTCCTTATTTGCTTTAAAACACTAGCCTCTTAAAATAATTAAACTCCTGTGTTTCATGATTTTTCGTAATTTTTTAATCGTTTCTGAAATATAGTAGATGGGAAATTTATGGATACTCTATATACACATTTATGTACATATTTTCCACGTAAATAATATCTATGTATTAATAAAAGTATTCAACTGTGTGTGATTCTATTCAATAATACATTACTTATTTTCCTTCAGTAGTAATGAAATAACACCTTATTTCGATATTCGAACGCTTGTAGCGACGAAATGGTTTTATTAAACGATATCGCGGTTAACGCGACTTTTGATTTGCTACAAATTATTTATTTCCAGAGTTTCTGCAAATTTCATCAAACTTCAAAATTCAATTTCCATCAGAATCGAACAGGGTCTTTTGTTTATAAATAATTATTCCCATTTTATATAAAATTAACATTCAGAAATTTTAATTCGAAATCACAGTTTCACAACGTTTCGACCATAGGTTTTGGCCCTTTTCAAGTGAAGTACAAAAAATAATTACTTGAAAAGGGCCAAAACCTATGGTCGAAACGTTGTGAAACTGTGATTTCGAATTAAAATTGCCAGTTTTGGTCAACCTTAACTACTCTGTTTATTTATTTGCTGGCGACTTTGAAGTTTTTTAAGTTATTCAGAAATTTATAATTATTTAATTGTTTAATTATGCAATGTTATACGCATACCTTTCATATGAGAAATAGAAGAGTGAAAATAATTTTCATGATTATTATATTCTATAGTAGAATTTATAACAACATAAGTATTTAGATAGAGTAATTCATGTTGAACTTGAACTACAAACAGATCCATCATCCGGGAATTTGGCAGAGCCTAAAATCAATTCGATATAATCATAACTTACCATAAATAATCAAAAAGATAAAGTTTTTGGTACATATCAAATTTAGCTTATTATATGCTATTGTTAAGAATAAAGTTTGTATGTGTGTTCAGAAGTGTAAATGTTTCTGTGATAATTTTCATACAAAACATATACATATTTAGTTCTTATTAAATTACTTTCACCGTAATTCTAGAATTTCTAGAAAATTTAGAGAGTTGGATTCTTATCATTTCTTATAATTAAGAAATAAAACAGAATATTTGTAAAAATATTTAACAATTATCTACATTACTAAACTGTTGATTATTTGACTGCGTATTCAAATAGTTATAAACCTAGTAATAAAATAACCTTGTCGATAATGTATGCTTGATAAAATATATTAAATCCTTCGTTTAACCATGTATGAGGCCATAAATAAGTTGGTCTGAACAGACTTTTAATATATTTTTGTACTATCCCACGTGCAACTAAACGCGTAATTATCGTTTTGTGTGCGACAGAATCTAATTCTTCATTATAAGTGATATCTACTTCTCTAAAAATAATTATAATAATATGAATAGTATAATAGTATGAAAAATTTTGGATATTAATATAATTTTTTATATAAATAGATTAGAATATAATATGTAATTAAAATAGTTTTTAAAATATATCTGTATTTTTAACTATATATACATTACCGATAAAAAATAAAACCAAAGGTCTGTTCGATTTCATTTTGTAAATCCGGGATTACGACATGATCCATTTTGCTCTCAAATAAAACAGAGGGTAACCCCGCAAGTTGTCTTCTCCAAATATTCCATCCATGTATGTATACATTGGTGGAAGAAATAACAGTTTTCGCAAATTCTAGATGCGGTTCCGATTGTCGTCTGAACCATATGGATGAACGAATTGTATCATTTTTCGGAAGAATGCTCTGATGAAAACTGGAAACTAGAAATGCTACACTATCTAAGGAGATCGAAGGAGTCTCGTTAAAATATGTCCATATCATTTTATCGTTCGTCAATTCAATATCTCGTATCGGCATATTTGACAAAGCTTTGTATCTTGGGTGATGCATTATAGAAATATTAAAAGTAATTTTTAATTCTGGCTTGTCCCAATGTGGAAATATTTGCTGTCTTTTCGCTGGGATACCTGTTCCGATTAACCACCTGCCGTATTTTAATGATAAACATTAAATAATGAATAATATTAGATAATTGTAAGCGTAGAATACACAAATGTACAATTTGTTTTTGATATTTCATATATTCTTCTACTTACTCTATTTCTTTATTATCGTCTATGTACGGAATTCCGAAAGATTCCCTTACAATATTAAGTGAGATTTCATACTCTATATACAGATCGTACATTCCACGCAACAAGATATCACCAAAATCGAGCAGGACAATATTGTTTTTAATCAAATTTGTTGAGTTTGTTTCATAAATCGTATTATTATTTTTCCTTAATGTCAACACTATTAAACTCGCTGAATCCGGTGCATAAAAACTTATATTTTCTTTTGCATAAGAAATATCTAAAGTGATTATGCATTTGCTACGGAGATAATTATTGAGTAACATTAACTCTATGTTATAATGTATTGGAATTATATAATTTAATATATTGCTTGATTTATTGTTTAAAGCACTATTGCGCATGATTTTCGTTTGTTCATCGTTTCCCATGATTTTAGATTCTTCGCCATCTATAGGACTCGCTGTTGCCACTACGGCAAGGTATATTATACTATTACTTAATAATAGTTTTAAAAATGTCATGTTGAATTTCACTCGGATATCTATAAAAAACGTTTCTTCATTATAAACAAAAAGTATTAGTTTACAAAGAATATGCAATAAAATCGATTTTTGTATGAAAAAACGTTCAAGAGAATTTACTAAACACTTCATAAGAAAATATGATTAATTTAAAAAGAAATTAAAATAATACAGTTTAATAAATAAAGGAATGATTGGAAATAATAAATATAAAAATTATTAACTATTAATTATTAAAAACGACGTATGAAATTTTTTTCTCGGATTTGAATATTAGGAGATATGAAGGATGTATTTAGATAATTCCAGTAAGAGAAGCACAATAAACATAACTCTTATTTATCTCAATTTAGCTATCTTTAAGATTTCTCTTAGTGCAATTACATATTTTAATGTATATACATATATATAGTATAAGCTTTAAAATGTATGAGTAATGAAGGTATATTCTGAACAACGCGATTTTATACATGATATGGACTATATGTTTACTAACATGTTATTTTCAAGATCAATCTGTTCCTTAAGTAAGAAATGTATTAAAAACACACAAACACTGAACGGAAATCAAATATCATCAAATATTTGAAATTTTGAAAATGTAGCGAATTGTATTAAACATACGAACAAAATTCTAAAAACAATTATGTGTGTGTGTTAATATTTTTATAACTCATCTTTTGAATAAAATGTTAATTTTTTATTATTTGTTGTTTATTCATTACACATACAAATTAACATGTCCTACTGGTCTTAGACATACATTATAAAAAATATTTTATAAACGAAACAGAGGTAATACGTTTTTAAGATAGATAACTTCATAATTTAGTTAATGAGATAATATTTTATATAGCTTACATAATTTTATAACAATAATATAAAATTAATTACGCAATAATTTTTTAATGTCAAAAAAAAATTTAGATTATAAATTTTACACTTTCCATATGTCAAAATGGTCGAAACATGCTATTACAGTACAAACGTAAATGTCTTCATTTCTATTAACTGTAATGTGTGCAAAAGATAAAAATAATATTTACAGTAAAATGAGTTAGTCAATTTAAAAATTTAAGACTAAAGGAGAAGAAAATTAAAGAAAAATAAAGAAATTGTCTTTTGTAAAATAAAAGCGTTACCTGTTACTCCACACAATTTTGTATGCACATTTAAAAAAAGAAAGATAAATATTTTATTACATATTTAATGTCCTATTACTACCTTCCTATTAGTTGAATTAGCCAGGTTTTATATCAGATTTAAACCACCAAAAGCATTCATTCGCGAACTTATCGCTTCGAAAGACTATTCTGAACTGATGGCTCTGTCGGCATACCTGACAGTATATAGAAAGTACATAGTATTATATAAATAACGTCTTGATTATACGTAGCGTAGGATATCTTACATATCGACAGAAGTCAATAAGTATAAACTAGTTTATGTTTTTTATTTCTCGTATATAAAGCTTTTATTTATAAAGACAATTTTTCTAAAAAACTATTCGCGAGAGAACATTAATTGAAGAGTTATAATCGCACTTATACTTGCATGTATTGGCCGATCATTTTTAATTAATATTTTGAAATTTTACGTATTTTTTTTAAATTGGTATAAAATTTTTCTGTTCAATTTGACGAGATCTATTTATGGTTTTATTTTGCACCGAGATACTGAAAACATCCTGTACGCTAAAAAAAAAATTTTGTTGAATATTGCCAAATTAACATATATATAATGTTAAATTTAATTAAAAGAAAATGTTATTCTAACATTTTTATGATAAATAACAGAAGAGATACGTCGATTTAATATATGGAAACTGTTATAGAGAGAAAATAACACAACTTTTCTGTTCATTTTAACATATAATATATTTCATCAAAAATTCGTGCATTTGCATATTAATTGTGTTGTTTTAACTCTTAGAAACGGTGAATATTAACTTAACGCAAAAATGTCAAAATAATGATAATATGTTACATTAACATAATAGTATATTAAAAATTTAACACAAAAATTTTTACACGAAAAAATTTTAATAGAAATACAAAATGTTTTTTACTGTGATCCAATATTATGAAAAGAATTACTTTTTTTTTCAGGATTTGCTAAATGCCATTTCAAATGACTCCTAGATTTTACATCGCAAGAATTTTCATTTATAATAAAAAAAAAATATTTACATTCCCACTTTGCCAGTTATTGTTTTAAACATTTAGTATAGTCATTGATGTTACTTTCGTCATACAGATTCCAATAACTAAATCTAAAATTTAAATTAAAAATTTCTGCATAAAATCAAATCTTAGCACGTTTTATAATTTAATAACTATCATTATATTTAGTTTATTCATTATTTACAAGAACAGATATAATGTACGCGCATTCAAATGTTTTTACTAAATAATTTTCTTTCATATTTCTTCAATATTTATGTGACTTCGTAGCATCAATATCATAATAAATAGATTTACCAATTTCTTATTTGTGTGTGAATAATTGTGTATATTTTACCATCTAAATAGGTATGGATTTTATATCATTTAATGAATTTTTAACACACATATCGATATATAAAGTGTTTCATAAAATTGTACTAACGTTCGTGAGTGAGTAAAACGCAATAAACTGAACAGATAGATTATTTACCATTTTATAATTTTTGTAATAATTATTAAAATATTAATTAAAAACATGTATAAGCGTGCGTTTCGCGCCGGTGTGAAGTTAGCATCTTATATTCAAAAATTTAAAGATTTATTAGGAGTTCTATTTGCACCCCAAATAGTTTTATAGTTCCTGATAGGTTTTAGAAATAGTTCCGGCGATACACCTAAAGAAATTGCATTTTGGAAATATAAGGTGCCAACTTCCCGGTGGCACCGCAACATGAGAAAAGTTCCATTTAAACTATGCATTTCTATAGTTTTATAGTTCCAAATAGGTTTTAACAATAGTTCCGACCGCTAAATATTTTTAAATAATTTTTTAATATTGAAATCGGCATCTAATCTTTCGCTAAAAACGGTCAGAACTTTTACGCTATTCACTCTATGACTTCGAGCCTTAATACTAATCGAGAGAACTCTTCGGGGTGCAAACGGAACTATAATTAGAACGCCGAAATTCGGAAAAAATTCCAACACCCCAGGACTTTGAAAGTTTAAGAGCGAGTAACTAAAAGTGGCCAGAACTTTTTCGCTCTTCACTCTACGGCTGCGGGTTTTAATATTTATCGAGAGAACTCTTCGGGATGCAAACGGAACTATAATCAGAACGCCGAAATAAAAAAAATTTCAATCCTTCTGGACTTGGAAATTTGCATGTGCCTTAAAACTAAAAATAAGGAAATTTCTTAATTTTTTTTTAATTATTTATTGCTTACTAAATATCAGCAGAATTGATGAACATCTAAAGATATATACTAGAAAAGCTTATAAGTAATTATTTAATTATTTAAATATCTGCGGAAAAGCTATTATTTTTTAATTTTTCTTTTTTGTTTATTGTCCTATTTTATACATTCTTTTTTATATATTTTTTATATATATGTTTTTAAGTTATTATTATGTCATCACAATAAAAGTACTCTTTACACACACACACACACACACACACACACACACACACACACACACACACACACACACACACACACACACACACACACACACACACACACACACACACACACACACACACACACACACACACACACACACACACACACACACACACACACACACACACACACACACACACACACACACACACACACACACACACACACACACACACACACACACACACACACACACACACACACACACACACACACACACACACACACACACACACACACACACACACACACACACACACACACACACACACACACACACACACACACACACACACACACACACACACACACACACACACACACACACACACACACACACACACACACACACACACACACACACACACACACACACACACACACACACACACACACACACACACACACACACACACACACACACACACACACACACACACACACACACACACACACACACACACACACACACACACACACACACACACACACACACACACACACACACACACACACACACACACACACACACACACACACACACACACACACACACACACACACACACACACACACACACACACACACACACACACACACACACACACACACACACACACACACACACACACACACACACACACACACACACACACACACACACACACACACACAAACAATTTAAGAAAGTAAAGAAAATAAGAAAAACAGAAATTAATATGTACAAAATTTAAAATTATCCCTCTCTTACGAAGCACTATTATGTTCAACATATGTACATATGTAAACATCGCAAACGGTATCCATTCATCCCAATTTCATCCGTTTAATCTTCGTTTATTTAATAAATATTAATATCGTAGATACTCGGTTACCCATATAAGATTTTACTAACGGCCCTATTCTGGCCCAATACTGGTCACTAATATTGCGATAATGGCGCCTATGACTGGCCCAGGTATTTCTCTGGTTACCATTCGGTAACTTCGGTCCAGCAATGGATAACAATGTACGGCCAAACATAGTAACCAATGATGGGCCATTAATGGTCAATATGCATATCTTGCCAATATTTTACCATTAATGGCTAATCTATTATGTCAATACTTGGCTACTAATAGCTTTCTTACGGTGCTCGACTTTTTTATTAACTATCTTATTACATTTACTATTGTCTTTTAGTTTTTTTAATTTTCGAAATTTTTTATGTTTGTAATAATTCTGCGACATTGTCGTCACTTTGTCCAAACGGCAGTTTGATTAGGTTAGGTTTCAATTTAGTATTTACACTATTTACAATATTTACAATATTTTAATTACAGGCAAGATATATGTTATGTAATAACTGTGATGCGTGAAATGCGAACGTTTACTCGGACTCGAGCGATTGCTGCAAAATTGCTATGAAAAAAGAGATATGCTGTGCGACAACGAATTTAGAACGATTGCGGAGCCAAGCATTGGCGCTGTAGCAAAATGTAGCGTCTTCTTATGTAAATGGCACCCAATCATTCCCCAAGCATAGGCCAATATAGAATGCCAAGAATCGACTAATCATCGGTACTATCGGTTATCGGGCCAAGCATTGGCCCTGTTGTCCGATATAAAAATCTTTTTCATGGCCAGATATAAATCTTAAACGACGTCAATCTGATTCGATCGTTGTAGGCGGGTTCAGTGCGGAATTAGCAGATAAAACGTTGTATCGTTTCGACGATTAAGATTATCCTCGAGGGTTTGGCTTCGTGAACTTAAATACTGAGCAGTTACTAGCAGAGTATATCGTCGATATTAGTGCAAATGGAAAATTGATACTCGAATATTGATGATTCGGTCAAGCAGCCTCGAGAGATTTGCCTGAAATTTCTGCATTACGGAAAATGTAACTACAATATAAGCGGGATACAACTGTAAACTATTTTTCTTCAAGTAATAAATATCGCGAGATATTTTTGATACCATTTTTAGATAGATCACTATTAACATTTCTTCAATAACATATTTAAATAATGTGACAGGTTTATAATATTTAAATATTTTTTCAAATTCGAGATTTTAATTCTTTAATTCTGTTTCCATTTTGTTCAGCATGTTTTTAAGCATTTTTTACAAGTTAAATAAGTTCAACTTAAATATATTTAAGAATAGATTTGCAACGATTATAATATGATTAAGATATTAGCACAATATAAATATTAATATATTATTTAATTTATTAACGCAATATAAATAAATAATTTAATGTGTTCAACGTGACAATTTGCATGTGTTTTTGTATTACCGTAAAATTTAATTCGAATATAATGCACAATAATACAGTTGTTACGAATTGCGATTCGGATGGGAACATATTCGTGATTATTAATTTATTACAATACAGAAACCAGTGAAAAAGGGAGAGCGAGAGCAAAGGAGTGAAAGAGAAATTAAATCATTTTTTGCTTTTTTATATTTCAATGTTTTAATATATTCTGAGATAAAAAAGAATGCACAGAAGAGTTTAAATGTATTTATCTGATCTTATTACTATGCAATAAAGCTGCTAATAAAACAATACTTAAAAAAACTTTCATATTTTCTGCGAAATTTCTTCTATTTAAAAAAGAAGCATCTCTTAGAGTCGAGCTTTCTATATAATTAATATTGTATTATATGTTTCAAATATATACAGGGTGTTT